TGGGCGAGCTGTGGGCCTTCCTCGTCGGCTGGAACGTGCTCCTCGAATACCTGATTGGTGGTGCTGCCGTGGCCCGAGCCTGGAGCGGCTACCTGGATTCCATCTTCGGCCACAGCATCCGCAGCTTCACTCAGATCCACGTGGGTGTCTGGCAGGTGCCCATCCTGGGCCACTACCCAGACTTCCTGGCCGCTGGCATCCTCCTTCTGGCCTCTGCCTTTGTCTCCTGCGGAGCTCGCGTCTCCTCCTGGCTCAACCACACCTTCTCTGCCATCAGCCTGCTCGTCATCCTCTTTATCATCATTCTGGGCTTCACCCTGGCCCAACCCCACAACTGGAGCGCCCGTGAGGGGGGCTTTGCGCCCTTCGGCTTCTCTGGTGTCATGGCCGGCACCGCCTCCTGCTTTTTTGCTTTTGTGGGCTTTGACGTCATTGCCGCCTCCAGCGAGGAGGCTCAGAACCCGAGGCGGGCCGTGCCCGTGGCCATTGCCATCGCGCTTAGCCTGGCTGCAAGTGCGTACATCCTTGTCTCCACCGTGCTAACCCTCATGGTGCCCTGGTACAGCCTGGAGCCTGACTCGGCGCTCGCCGATGCCTTCTACCGGCGGGGCTACAGCTGGGCTGGCTTCATCGTGGCCACCGGCTCCATCTGTGGTAAGAGGCCCTTCCGGGCAGGGCAGCAGGGAACAGAGCTTTCTGGGAGCACACTCCCATCTGTACCTCAGTTTTACTAGTTGCATAGTGGGCCCAGGAAAGCGCTCATTATTAGAAACTCTCTGCCCAGGTTTATTGGGAGGGACATCCCCCAAAATTGAGCATAGAATGCTAGTTCTGGTCATGTGTTGATAGGTTATTTCCTGAATCGAAGGACTCAGCTCTTATCAGATTCTCTGAAGGGCTTCTGACCTAAACTGGAGTGTCCCATTTTTAGGGTGGGGGGCTGACAACCAGTCTAGCACCCCCACACACTCATGCTCCGAACTCACACCCATGTTCCCAAGGGACCACCCCTGCCCTGGCCCCCAGCAGAGGCTTGTCCACCGTGCTGACCATTCCCGACCCTCTGCTACAGCCATGAACACCGTGCTCCTCAGCAACCTCTTCTCCCTGCCACGTGTCGTCTATGCCATGGCTGTCGACGGGCTCTTCTTCCAGGTGTTTGCCCAGGTGCACCCCCGGACGCAGGTGCCTGTGATCGGCATCCTGGTGTTCGGGAGCCTCATGGCCGTCCTGGCACTGCTGCTGGACCTCGAGGCGCTGGTCCAGTTCCTGTCCATGGGCACACTGCTGGCCTACACCTTCGTGGCCGCCAGCATCATTGTGCTGCGCTTCCAGAAGGCTTCTCCATCCAGCTCCCCAGGCCCCGCCAGCCCTGGCCCCCTGTCCAAGGAGTACAGCTCCTTCTCAGACCACCTACAGCTGGTGGGCACTGAGCAGGTGTCAGTCCCCGAGCCTGGGCAGCTGCGACCTGCCCTGAGGCGCTACCTGAGCTTCCTGAGTGGGTGCAGCCCTGGAGCAGCCGTGTCTTGGGCATTCAGCATCCTGGTGGTCTCAGCTGTCGCCCTGGCCTGCGTGCTGATCTTCGGGAACTCGGCCCTGCACCTCCCACGGTGGGGCTATATCCTGCTGCTCCTGCTCAGCAGTGCCATGTTCCTGCTCAGCCTCCTCATCCTGGGGGCTCACCAGCAACAGCACCGGCAGGACGTGTTTCAGGTACCTCCCCCAGCCCAGCAGGCTCCCCTCGCCCCTTCCTCCTCTGCCACCCGAGAATGAAGAAGGGCCCACGGGCTGGGGAGGCCAGTACATCCCTCCCACCCCGCTGTGGGCATGGCGAGCGAGCACATGTCTCCAAAACTTCCAGAAAAGGAGAAGGGTGCTGTGGCTCATGTGAAATCAGGCCCGGGGCTGGCGGGTGTCTCCTGCAGCCCACCCAGCCCCACCCTGCCCCCTCAGATCCCCATGGTGCCCTTGACTCCAGCCCTCAGCATCTTGCTCAACATCTGCCTCATGCTGAAGCTCAGCTACCTGACCTGGGTGCGTTTCTGCATCTGGCTGCTAATTGGTGAGTGGGGACCGGGCTGGGACCCCAAGTGGGGCAGGAGGAGGGCAGAGAGGGCTGGGACCCCCTCAGGCTCATGCCCTCCCACCCTGCAGGACTCGCTGTGTATTTTGGCTACGGCATCCGGCACAGCAAGCAGAACCAGCAGGAGGCCCCGGGGCCAACCGCCACGCAATACGTGGTGTTCCCCAGCGGCAGCCTGGAGGAGACAGTGCAGGCCGTGCAGCCTCCCAGCCAGGCGCCAGTCCCGGCACCCGCCCCCACGGAGTAGCCAGCCAGCCCTCACTTGCCCTGCCCTCCCCTACCTCCTCGGGAGCTGCGAGGGGCCAGGAGCCCCTTCTATCCAGGGCAGCTTGGGTTTGCTTGCTCAGTCTGGAGGACTCAGGACCTTAGGACTTAGCTCAGGTGCTGACCTCAGGTCGTCAGGAGGGAGCCTTGACCCGCGCCAGTGCGGCGGACTCAGCCCTGTGCCTTCCTGCTTCTGACCAACTCTGACTACCTGGGCAGGTGAGGTGGGGCAGGCGGGGAGGCCCCAGCCCCAGGCATCCACAATAATAATGGCTCAGCCAGCCATGTGGCCTGCTGCCGTGTCCACTGTGGCATTCTTTGTGGCACTGAATCCTCATCTGCCCCTAGGAACTTGTCTCCAAGTGCAGTTGTCCCCAGTCCACATCAGAGACCCCAAGACTCTGCAAAGGGGAGGCACCAGCCCTCAGACCACCCTCAGTCAGGGACATGGCCAGGCCTGGGTCCAGGTGTCCTCCACTCAGGCCAGTGCCCCCTGCCCAGCTCCGAGGAGTGCTGCACACCCCTACACACCCCAGGTGAGAGGGGGCCCATGGCAGGAGTGAGGTCACGCTCCCCCCGTGTCTGCTTCTGGGGCAGATCTGGGTCACAGAGCCTGGGCAACGACAAGGCTGCCTAGAAATGGCAGTGGGGGTCCAGGTTCTGCTCAGTTTCCCAGGGCTCCCCAAGAGTATGGCAGGTGCCCAAGGCCTGCCTGGGACTATAGATACACACTGGTACACAGGCACGCACACCCCCCCCAGACATGCACCCACATGGCCTGCGCAGACCACCCTAGGGGTGGAAGCCACAGCTGTTTCCAAGCTCAGGCTCGAGCCTTGGCTCTCTGGCTGCCACAGCTCACTCTCTGGCTTCCCTCTCTTTAAGGGCTGTGAGATAAAGGCTGAGATGCCGCACACCCATGTGGTGCTCACGCTCCTGTGTGGGTGCACGAGTGCTGGGCCTGCTCCAGCCCACCTGGAGCTGGTGGCCAGGAAAGCCCAAGGCCTGCCCTATACCACCCCACTGGTCTCCGAAGGCTGTGCTGTGTCCATCACAGATGCCTCCCCCTTCCCGTTCCTGCTTGTAAAGACTACCCAAGAAGCCGCTGGTTTTGCTGCCTTTACTTGACTTCTCCAGCTGTGACATCAGCTTTCTCTAGGCCCCAAGGACAACCAGGTACATGGGACCCATTGTGGACAACCAGGACTCATAGGCCATCGTCTCCCACCCTAGCCCTTCAGAGCCCACCTCCCCAAGGACATGGCTTTGGGGACTGAGAGGCAGGAGGGACCCCAAAAGGTTTGCTGAGTCTCCAGTGCCAGATGATTCCAGATGCCAGCGCAGCCTCAGCCCCAACCCTGGCCCTCCCCAGCACATCCTGACCACCAGGTACCCATGATTGAAAGCATCCCCTCGCCTCCCAGGGGTGGGTGACCCTGCCCCACCTTGGGACCAAGAGAGGGCCTGGCTCCTGCAACCCCTCTTGACCAAGGACCCTGGGGCATGGGCAGGACTCAGGCTCCCTCAGGAGGATTCCAGAAGCAAATCCCGGCCAGCCTGCTGGAGTCCTCAGTGTCCTTGTTTAGGGACATTCCTTCCAGCCATCTTGCCTGGGGACAGGGTCAGGACCTCCCACATGTAGCTGCCCAGACAGGTTCCTAGGTGTGGCTTGGGCTGCAGTGAATTGCAGATGTGCAGCCTCCCCACCCCCAGACTCCCAGGAAGCCTGGGGAGCAGGTTCTAGGTGGCTGGGCTGGGGGTAACCAAGGAGGGATACAGAGGGTCCTGAAGGACCCAGGGGCCACCAACCCAGCCCCACCACCCTCTCCTCCCCATCCCAGCCCTTCGCAGTCAGAGGGCTGCTGGAGAGTGGCTGGAGCACATTACCTGAGCAGGTGTGGGCCCAAGAGGTGCCTGTGCCCTTGCCTGGGGTTCTAGGGGCTGGATGAGCTGCCCACCCCACCCGCATTCCATGGATGAGGACCTGCCTTGGTCAAGCCAGTGCCAGAGCAGCAGAGACAATCCCCACCTACCACACACGGGCTCTTTCTGCCTTGCCCGTGGCTCCAGCCTCACAGACCCCAGTGCAGGGCAGCTGGAAGGGTGGGGCCTCTACCTGTGACAGGGTGCAGGCAGGGGGAGGAGGGTCTGTGCTGACAGCTGTGTGTGGGCGGACCTGTGCGAGGAACACTGGGGAAAGCCTGGGAGAGAGACTCCGGACAGCCGCAGCAGGAGCCCCACTGGTTAGCGCCCTGCCGTGGGGCCCCGGGCTCTCCCAGCCTCCACGGCTCAAGTTCCACTGCAGGGCTCTAAACAAACTGGCTTGTGTGGCTCTCGGCAGTGCCCTGCCAAAGCTGGAGTCAGGGGAGGGACTCTGCCTGGGAATTTGAGGGTGGCCTTCTCTCCCCAACCCCGCAACCCCAGTCCTGGTGAAGCTTTATTCTTGAGATCCCAAAGGCAGAGCCCCCACCCTTCCCAGCCCCCCACCACCAACCAGCAGGGAACAGCTACCAGCCTCAGGAACGGGCCGGCAAGTGGGTGCCAGAGCCTGGACAGGGCCACCCCAGCGTCAGTGTCTGACTCCCAGCAGCAGTGGCCATGGGGGCAGGTCCTGAGCCCTGTCTAAGGCACTTGGGCAGCCGGGCTTGGGATGTGAAAGCCAGCTCGCACCACAGAGAGTTGGCAGTTGCCTTCGGGGCCTTTGCCTGCAGACAAGGACAGCAGGTCAGGGATCGGGCCAGCATCCCCCAAAGTGTGGCAGAACCCAGTGCCCAGGCAGAGTGGCCTCAGCTCAAGGGCCCGCAGCTCACCTCCTCATACTTTGTCCTCCAGTAGAAATGGGCTTCTCTATCCACGTACAACAGTAGCAGGTCACAGAGGAAGGTGACCTGGGAGAAGCAGGGCCAATCCATGTCCCAGCCCCCAACCTGCCTCCAGCCACCTCCCAGCCTTCACCTTGACCCTCCAAGTGCAGGGTGCTGAGGTATGCGTGGAGGGCAGGGGACCCAGGCTGGCGCTCGAAGCTGGAGGGAGCCCACAATGCTGACTCACCACGCCCAGCCAAGCTGCGCCGGTGCCCAGAGTGATGGCCGTGGGGATGAGCCCGAACTTCCCTGCCTGGGAGAGACCTCGGCTGAGCCTCTCAGGCCACGTGTCCTGCCCCATGCCCCTCCCGCCCCCGGCCAGACCCCTACCTGCCCAGTGACGAGGATGTCGAAGCGGATCCCGTAGAGTTTGAGCAGGCTCCGGGCCTCCACGCCCGGGTCCTCCCACCAGTGCGTGGCCGTCCTGGGAGCAGGAGAGAGGGCTTTGGTGGCCTGCTTTGCCCACCCCCAGGCTGGGCTGGTCTACTGACTCTGTAAACCCCCAGCCCAAACCTGAGTCCTGGGTCTGGGCTCTTTGTCATTGCTGAGAAAACAAGGAAAGGAAGCTGAGACCTGCCTCTCAGACGCTCACTGCCTGCTGAGGGGACAGGGGACAGAAGGATCCCTAAGAGACACCACAGTAGGGGATTGAGGGGAGAAGGAGAGGGCAGACCGAAGCCTGTGAGAACCCAGAGGTGGGAGCTCATCGTCCCCTGGGAACTGGGCAGGCTTCCTGGGGGGGAGACACTGGAAGGGTATGCAGACAGGTGGTTTGCCGGCATGGGGGCAGGGGGCGCGGGGGACAGGACACAGGCAGGAGCCAGCCCCACATGGTCTCCAGGCTCTGGGGAGGTTGGGGAAGCCAGACAGATCCAGGGGTCTGCTTAGAAGACTCAAAGACATGACAATAAATGCAGTTTGATATCTGAGTGCAGTTGGAATTTTGGCGGGGCTGCCTGTGGACCGGGAAGAGGTGCGGGCACCAGGTGAGAATCTCAGGTTCCAGTCACGCAGGTGGCCGTCGGGTGGCAGGGCAGGGGACCACCTCGCGTGTCTGTGGGAGGGTCTGCGAGAGGTGAGCGGCGCCGAGCCCGGGGGCTCCGGGGGGCACTGGAACCCGGTGGCCTCGTGGGCAATCTCTGGACAGCGCAGGGCTGGCGTGGCCGGGCTGGGGCTGGGAATTGCCAGGTTGTCCTTTAAGGAACCAGGTTTTTTCTTTTTTAAATTAAACCTTTTAAAATGCTTGCTAAAAAAAAAAAAAAAATCCTCGAGTGCGTCCTGGATTGGAAAATACAAAGATTTCGCCATTCCCGGCACAGCTGGGGAAATGCGAGTGTTAGATTTATTCTGCCCACGGCCAGTTTCTCGCGGGTGACAGCAGGACGGCAGCACATCGGGAAAGGCCTTGTTCTTGGGACAGTGTTGAGAAGGGTGAGTGTCCGCGTGTCTGGCACCTACTTTCAAACAGTTCCATTAGGAAACTACCTAAATATATCCAGCTCACTCCAGACAGGGAGAGAGAAAGCAAACCTGGCCAAACGGTGAAATAAAAAACTGGTGAACCAGCTGAAGGGTATATAGGTGTTCACGGTACTAACCTTTGAACTTTTCTTTTGGAATTTTAAATTGTTTCAGTAAAACCTGAGGGGAAGGTAAAAACGAAAGACCCCCATGCTATGGAGGGCTGATGGTGGAGGCAGGGGGTAGTGGAGGAGAGGCAGGTGGGGGTGGCGACAGCCGGGGTGGGGGGCTCATAGCTGAAGTGGGGAGGATGCAGGGCTGAGAACATCCTTCCTGCCTCTGGGAACCCCCCTTGCGTACACAGTGGGGTGTGCCGAGGGCTGGGCCCAGGTGTGGTCTCTGCTGGCTGCCGGGGGGACGGGTGGAGGGGCATGCTGGCCTAGGTGCAGCAGCCGGGCACTGGGGACAGTGGGAGCCACACCTGAAGTTGTAGCTCCTCTCCTGCAGCTGGAAGGAGTAGTGGGGCCGGCAGTCAGAGTCCCCGGTGTCCAGGTCACAATCCCAGTGAACACTGATGCCTACAGAGCCGCCCTGCACACAGCATATCACTGCTGCACCAGCAGCTGGGGCCAGGACCCTCTCCCAGAGCCCTCCGGGAAGCCTGCCCACCCCAGAACCTACCAGCAATGCCAGGTCCTCAAAGTCCCCTCCAGCCTCGGCCACAAGGTCCTCAATGCGGAACACAGGGCAGTAGGGGCTGGAGTGTGGATCGTAGCGGCAGTGCTTGAAGTAGGTGGGGTCCCAGGTCTCCAAGGCATTGGACCTGGGAGGGGCTGGGGGTGTCAGACGAGGCAGGGGACAGGACGGTCTGGGAAAGGGGACAGGAGGGTCTGGGGCCAGCCGGGACCTGCCCTTGCTTACTTGGAGAAGTTGAACTTGCTGAAGGTGACAGTGTTTTTGATGAACAGCGTGAAGTTCTGAGCATGGATCAGCAGGGGCCTCCTGGGGGTGGAGGGGAGGTAAGGGCCCCTGCCAGGCCTAGGGCCCTGCTCTGGGGGCGGAGGGGACACTTACGTGGGCACAGCACTGCTCTCCACTGGGCACCAACTCCGGATCTCACAGGTCTTGTGGGTCCCGTTGAACACCACACACCGGCCTGTTTGTATGCCTTGAAGACACAAGATGAGTGAATTCCAGGCCCTCAGATCTCTGCAGGGCCTGGGGAAGGCATGGCCAGGGGTTGCTGGCAGAACAGAGAGATGCAGGGACACAGGCACAGCGGGGCTGCACTCAGGATCTGCCCAGAGTCCCAGGCTGGCCCCCCACTCTGGTGGAGGCCCTAGAAGACAGAGCCCACAGTTACCGTGGCTGTGCGTGCCTGTCTGCCCTTCGGTGCAGTCTTCGTCGGTCCAGCAGTTAGCCAGTGGCACGGAGGGGTGCTGAGGAGGGCGAGAGGGCAGTCACCGACACACAATCCTCCCCACTTTACCCCCACCAACCAGGCTACCCTGAGTTTGCGGCCACACAGTAAGACTGGAGGGTGCCAACAGCAGGAGGTGAGGGACGGGGCGCAGGTGGTGCCATCTTCCAAAGACAAAGTGGGACCCCTTCCCTCCAGAAAGTTCCACCCTGGGGTGCAGAGAAGTTGATTCTTTGAGGTCCAGCCCCTCTGGTCCAATTTGGACAACAGAACAGGGAAGGGGAAGGGACCTTGGGCAGACTAAGCTCTTGGCGCTCGTGTACCAGGTGGGGGTGCAGTCGTCTGACACAGCACCAGACCTTGCAGTCGCGGGCTGGGTAGGGAAGCAGGACGCCACGCACTTGCTGAGAGACTCCCAGCTACTCTTTTCGTGCTTGCTCTTCCATAAGTCAGAGATGCTAATGCTGGGGCAGAGTCACAGTTATGGGGACCTGCCAGGAGGGGAAGGCAACCTGGAGCATCGGGCACTCTCACAGACACTGTCCTGCCCGGGTGGAGGATGGACGCCACTGCCAAGGCGACTTAGCTTGGAACACAGCACCAGAGTGGCAGAAAAGGCTGAGGGCCTCTGAGACGCCAAAATGAGAGGGTGGGACTTTGGGGGGCTGTGATGCGTGGGCAGAGGACAGAACGAAGTTGTCCCTACCTGTGTCCTGAGTCTGCCCCTCTCCTCCACCCAGCTGGGCCACTGTCTCCTACATCCAGACCCCATGGTGACCACTAAATGGGGCCCCCACTTCCACCTCCCCAGGTAGCCCATGTGGTCCGTCCCAATGTGTAGGAGAGTGGGAGGGACCAAGTGACCAGGTTCCCAAGAGGAGCTGGCAGGAACTCTGGTTGTTCTCAGGGAGCCAGGCTGTCGGATCTTCCCTTTCATAGGAAGATGCAGAAGTCCAGACACGGGCAAAAAGGAATCACACGGATTCCAGAAAACACAGACCCGTGGCCCCAGCAAAATTCCAGAACAGTCTATAAACTGAACACTAAATAGACATTTATGAGCATTTAGAAAGGAAGAGACAGCATGTGGGTTTGCCAAGTGTGAGCACATCCTCTGTGCCTTACCTCCTGTGTGGATAGGGGCCAACCACAGACACATGACGTCCCCAACGACTGTGGTAAGCCAAACCACCAGGGCTCAGGGGACAGGTGTGTGCACAGTGACCCCTAGCCAGCAAGCAATTAAATGTTGAATTTGATTAATGTCAATGTGGAGGTAGACTTCCAGGGCTGTGTCCTGGGTCCAAAGCTGGGGAGAATGAGTGTGCTCTGTGACAGATGCCGGATCCCTGAAGACAACCCCAGGCAAGAGGAAAAGGTAAGATTTGGGGGAAGAATCTGCACTTCTGGATGAGAAATGAACAAAACAGGGTGAGGGATCCTTGCTTGACCACAGTTGTAGTGAAAAATACTCTGAAATCATAAGCCTAATGGAAGCTACCTCAGGACATATTAATAGAGAGTGGGCACAGAGAAGGAGAAGTGATATTCCAGCTTAGCTCTTGCTATCAGAGCCCACCTGAACATGTGCCCAGCTCTTGGTGTCACATGAACAACCTGGAGAGTACCCAGGAGTATGATCAGGATGCAGAGGGGCCTGGGCACCTCATGGGCACTGTTGCATCTCAGAGGTCCAAGTCCTGTCACCCACAGGCTGGGAGGACTTGAGCAATTGACTCAACCTCGCTGAGCCTCAGCCTGTTCATCTTAAATGGGGACCATGGTAATTCCTACCAGGCTGGGCATATGTGAAGACTAAATGAAATGATCATAAAAAGGTTTAGCCCAGTGCCTGGGATACAGTAAGCACAGACTGAGCCTTCAGCCACCTGGGAAGGAGAGAGGGAAACATGCGTGGTGAATCCTGGGCAACCTTACCTCTGGGCATCTGCCCTGAATTTGGGTTGGCGTCACGAGGAAATTGGTCACCAAGAAGAACACGTTCTCTCCCTAGGAGGCAAGTCTCGAGTTGGTGCCTGCTTGGCTCCCCCAACTGGAAAGGCCAGAACTGGCAGCTGGTTTGGGAGGGAAGGAGTCTTGGCCTCATCTAGTCGCCAACCCCATCGCCCAGGGAAATGCCTCCAGCAAGGCAGATTGAAGCAGAGACGGCAGGCTGGCTGGGTTTCCGGCCATTTCTGAGCCTGGGGAGCCTCATGCCCATATCCTCCTCTCTGTGACGGTTTCTTTCTCATGTTCACTCTCATTCGATCAGAATTTCCAACAGCCTCCTGCTTCTAGGCACTGAAGATCCACAGGTGAGTTGGGATGGGCGCCTGCCCAGGCTGGAGGGGAGGTGGATGCCTCACTCCATGCACAGCAGCGCTGGCAATGCAGGGGCCAGGGAAGCAGATGGTAAGCTCTGCCTGGGGCCAAAGGGTGGCCAGCAGTTCAGAAGGGTAGTTTCCTGGGCACTTGAGGAATTCACGCTCAGGAAGGGAAGTCGAGGGCTGGGCAAAGGGCAGTAGGCGTGGCAGCAGTTAGGATATGGAGGGATTGGTGGCCTTGGGAGCCTTCCAAGGGTAGAAAGCAGAGGCTGCAGGCTCTGATGGTGTCAAGTGTACAAGCTCAGCTTGGCTGCTGCATGGTGTGCCACCTAGCGGCAGGGAGTGGGCAGGAGGCGTGTCAAAGGGCCCACTAGGAGACCACAGCCTCATCTAGGCATGGCTTGCGCAGCAGTGAAAAACGTTGGGGGGGATGGGAAGGTGTGGAGGCTGAGTCCCAGGTCCAGCTTTGGCACTCGTGAATGTCACAGCCCTACGCTGGATGAAGAGAGGCCATGCCGGGAGAGGAAAATGAGTTCTCTTTAGGCACAGTGTGCGTTCACCTGGGAGGCTGCTGTGCTGAGAGCAGGAAGTCACGGGGGATACAATCTGGGCATGAGCGGAACAGAGGTGGAAATTGAAGCTGCAGATGAGCTGGTGGAAGGAGAGGGAAGCAGCCTGAGAGGCCAGAGGAGGAGTGCCTGACATGGCAGCCCAGGCAGGGAGGGGTGATTCAGGAAGCTCCAGGCCCAGGCCCACCCACACCCCTCTCACCCTACCTTTAAGTTCAAGCCTTGGGTCCCAGATACCCCACTCTTTTCTGGATGAAGCCTTTGTAAACACAGTTCCTCCGGCGGGCCAGCCCATCCCCTCGTCCACTTGGAAACCTCCTACACATCCCGAAAGCCCTGTCCAGGTACTGCTCTTCCCTGAGGCCCTTCCTGAGCCCCTCCAGCCACCCTCTGGCATCACGTGTCTCTCTCTTCACACACTTGCTGCAAGGGTGGTGCTGAAGCTGACAGCAGATGAAGGACTCGTGCTCCGGGCAGCAGCCCAGGATCCCCACCTGTGGTGGCTTCACGTAGTCGGCCACATCCCACAGCCGGTTCCCAAGCTCCTTGATCTGTGTCACAGAGACCCCTTTGAGTTTGGTAATGACGGAAATCTGGGGGTCCAGGTCCCGCTCCTGGTAGCCTTTTTTGGCGAAGAGAGCCCACCTGGAGAGAGGGTGATGGGCAGTGTGGTGTGTCCCCAGCACGCAGTGAGCAGGGTCGGAGCTGGGCCCTATATGCTCAGCAATCTCCCCATACACCCTAGAGGCTCCCAGCCCAGCGTCAAGGGCCCAGCCTCCTCTCCAGCCTCAGTTCCCACCCCAAACCCCTGGAACAGGCCTGGAGCTCCAGCCATGCATCAGAGAGCCAGTGCCCTCAGAACTGGAGAAGCCCACAACCACCATGTTCACCAGCCAACACCCCAGCCTCACTAGACCCAGCTCCCTCCTTACAGACTCCGCTGACCCCCAGCTAAAAGTGGTGGTCTCTCTGGGGGGCCTTAGCATCCCAGCTCTCACAAATGTCAAGGACTACCTCCTGCCCAGCAGGGCACCTCCTCCGCAAGAGGGGGATGAGGAGGGGGATGATCCCGCACTGTGCCCAGAGCCCAGCATGGGGCTGGGGACAAGGCCCTGGAAAGGGTGTGCACATCGGACTCAAGCACACAGTTTGTGCTTGTATTGCCTCCCCACCCCCCCGCCCCATTCCAACCTGCCCCTCCCCACCAGCCCAGCCCCCAACAAGCCTCAACCCCCAGCCCACCAGGACCAACACTGATCCCCCACCGAGCAGCCCAGCCAAGAGCTCTTCTCTCTTACCCCACCACATAGGCCACAATCCCAAGCTGCAGCAGCCTCTGCAGGGCGCCCACCCGCCAATTCCTGGTTATCACATATTTCTCCGTCTTGTAATCCAGAAGCCCCCAGCCTGCTGCGGCCCCTGAGGAGCCCATGCTGCCAGCTGCTGCTGGCTGCGGGCACATGAGTCAGCACAGCAGCTGCAGCCACAGCTGAACAGGAGGCAAAGCAGGCGCCACCGTTAAAGGGACACTTCCACTTGGGTATGATCCAGCCTCCACCTCCGGCTCTCAGTCCCAAACCCCAGCTGCCCCCTGCCATCCTCTCCAGATTGCTCTGCCAGGCCCTGACACACAGAGAGGAGCAGCCCACTCCCGCCCTCTGGCCTCATTTCCTTGCGGGGTGGGGAATGACAGGTGTTACAAGTGCCAGAGAGGGCAGCTGGGGCAGCCAAGAGCCCAGAGGAGCGGCCAAGGAAAGCCTCAGGAAGAAGCGACCCCTGGCTGACTCTGAAGTTCAACAAGCAAAGCTGGGGAGGGATGTTCCTGGTGCGGGGAGCAGCGTATGCCGAGACCAGAGCGTGCGAGAGAATTGAGAGCCGCAGAGCATGAGACTCAGGCTCCGGAGAGGGGGTGGCCCGGCTCCGTGAGGTTGCTCCGTGAGGTTCGCCAGGCCGTCCCGCAGAGCTGCCCCTCCCTGCCCCCCAGTGCGGTGAGTAAAGCGCAAGCTCTGGAGTCGGGCGTGTTTTCCCGTCCGTGAAACGGGGTCCACGCTGGACCCTCACGGAGCAGCAGGAAGCGCAGACGCCCGCGAGGCGCCCAGCCCTGTCTCTGGCCCGCTGCGCGCGCGAGCGTGCGAAGATCCGGCTCCAGATGGGCGCACGCCCTCAGAGGTTTCCGCGGCAACCGACAGTACCGCGTTGCCCGGGCGACTACCCGGGCATTGGCTGTTGGTTAAGGAGGGCGCCTGTCGCTGTCCGCCATATGCGATTGGTCAGCGCAGCTGGAGAATCCGCCCACATCCCCGGGCCGCGCTCTAGGTTCGGCCCCACGCTGTCCCGGTCTCCGAGCCTTCGGCTGCGAAATGGACGTAATCGTGGGGGGTCGGTGCGCGACGTCTGAGGAGAATGAAGAACTGGAAGAAGAGGCGGCAGCGGCTGGACGTCCTGTAGGGGTGTCTGAGGCCGAGGAAGGTTCGCACACGGATTCGGACTCCGACCTGGAGACAGAAGGTGCCCCGGGCAGCGGGGCCAGGCCTGTCTCCTCACCTTGGGGGCTTCTCCAGCAGGGGTGGAGGGAGGCGGGCTGAGGCCGAGAGGGCAAGGGACCCTTGTCCAGCAGGGAGCGCACCCCTTTGTGGGGCGTCTTCAGGGCAGTCCCTGCAGCCCCGTGCCCTCCCCTCAGTGCTCTTGGGGCATCAGGAGTTCTACCATTAGAACATGCTTCCAGAATAACGTTAAAATGCACAACCCACTGGACAGTGTACCAAGGGGTATCCCACTCTGGAATGGGATCAGAGCTGGGCTTTCCCAGCACACAGGAAAAACTAAGCTAGTGGATCTATAGAATTTAGAATTATTCCAGGTTTTTTCCCTCCAAAAGTGTTCGTAAAACGTTTGTGGTGTATAGCCCTGGGTAAAAGACACAGAATGCACTCTGGCATCAGACAGAGCAGGCCCTAATTCTCTGCTAGGATTAGCTACGATTAGCTGTGTGACTTGGAGGAAAGGATTTGCTTACTTTGAGCCTCTGTGTCTGCATCTGTAATATGGGAGCAATAGTCCCAACTAGCACAGGAAGAAATGTCTCTAGAGGGAAAACATAGGCCAGCTAGTGACGGAGGGCAGGGGAGGAGGCAGGGGCTGTGCCTCTGAAGGGGTCTACATTTGTCCTCCTGTCTCCTACCAGGCACTCACGGGCTTGGAGAACCGGGCAGGGACACCCTCTACCTGGGGTGTTGCCGGGCCCATGGCGTTGTGAGTATCTCCTGCTTTCTGCGCCAAGGGAGTGCCCCAGAGCTGAACCTGCGGCACCATGGCCTGGGGCTCCAGGTACCACTGGAGGGACTCTGGGCCAGGCTTAGAGGGGGAGGACCCAGGAGATAGCAGCCATAGGAGTGCCCCTCTCTGAGTCCATCCCGCACACTCCTCAGCTTTCCCCTGTGTCAGGCCTGTTCCACCCCCTACATCTGGGAGGCAGATGAGATAGAGGCTGTGACAGAGATCTGCATAAGAGATGGGAGCCCGCAGGCCCCTGACCTGCTGAGGAGTCAGGAAGAACTACAGGAGTGAGACCTGGACACAGCCTGGAAGGAGAAGCAAGTGTCCTGGTGGTGGGAAGGGGAGGGCTTTCCGGCTGGAGGACAGAGTGGGCTGGGCCCTGGGAGCATGAGCCAGGAGAGTGGCCAGCTGTGTCTGGGGCCCTCAGCCCTGGGAAGGACCAGGCCCTTCTGCTCCATTCTAGGGGGCCCGGGCTCTGGCTTCCTCGTTGGCCTCCAATTCCTGCATCAAGCGGCTAGACCTTCGGGACAATGGGCTCTGTGGGGCTGGCGCAGAGGCCCTGGCAGTTGCCCTGAGCAAAAGCAGCAGCATCTGTGGTAGGTGCCCAGCTGGGGCAGGTGGGCAGGCTTGAATCCTCCTTTTCCTCAGGGATGTGGCCCCCCTAAGAGGGGCCTTCTCACCTGGGGACTGCTGGTGTTTCTGGGGAATAGGGAGGGGCCTCATCACAGGGTGGGGCATGTGGGGGTGGAGTTAGACCCTGTGCAGTGTGCCCAAGCTGGATGCTACTCCCTTCCTAACCCACCCCATGCTACCACTCCCCTCCCTTGCTGGCCAGCACCCCGAACCCCAGCGCATGGTGGACTCCCAATGCTTGAATGCAAGGTGGAGGAATCCTTCAACACAGAGAGGAGGGGGCTGATCAGCCCAACCTCACTGAGCCTCAGTTTCCAATGTGTGAAATGGCCCCAACAATACCTCTTAGCTCTTGGGGTTGCAATGAGCATTAAATGAAAGTGGGTATGTGAAGTGGTCAGCACAGTGTCTGGCCCATGTAAGTGCTCTGTGTACTGCCACCTGGGCTGTTACTACCAATCCCAGAAATGGGGCAGTGGGCGCTTCTGTGGTGGGGTATATCACTTCCAGATGGCTGCCCCTCCACCACAGCGTTCTTGGCAGCACCCAAAACACCCTTTGACAGAGAAGCTTGTGGACACACAGGGATGGGGAAGTCAGGGGCCGGAGGGGACCCAGCTCTTGGGTGGCAGGGTCATGCAACCTCAGACAGTGCAACTGCAAAGCCCGTTCCTCTGCGTCAGGCCTGGAGGTTTGGGGGATGGAGGAAGGGGAGGAGGGTGGTGCCTCGCTTTGGATCCCCCTGACTGAGGAATGGTGCTGGTGCCCAGATGTGGACCTGTCAGAGAACCAGCTGGGAGCAGCAGGGGCCCAGGCCCTCTGTGCTTTCCTTGTGGGGAACATGGCCATGCAGAAGATTCAGCTGTCAGGGAACAGTCTGGAGGAGCAGGCAGCCCAGTACCTTGCTGAACTCCTGCTGGCCCACACAGGCCTGAAATCCCTGGACCTGAGCTATAACCAGCTAAACGACCAAGCAGGTAATGCCCACCCAGGGCCACCATGGGACACAAAAGCTAATGGGTGGGGGTTGGCAGGATCGTGCTGAGCACCCACCAAAGAACATCCACACTCTGGCTCCTGCACCGCATACCCCACCTTGGCCCACTCCTCCCCTCTCCAGCCACACAGAACTCTCAATTCATTCCACAAATAGCTCATTGACCGTTACTGTATGTGCTGGGCTGATTTAGCCACTAGGGATCCAGCCTTGAACAAAACAAAGTCCCTGACCTCAAGGAGTGTGTTAACAAGATCATTCTCTGTAATTATCGGTGCCAATAAGGTACCAAGAAACCAATAAGGGCCAGGTGCAATGGCTCAGGCCTGTAATCCTAGCACTTTGGGAGGCCAAGGTGGAGGATCATATGAGGTCAGGAGTTCCAGACCAGCCTGAACAAGAGGGAGACCGTGTCTCTGCTAAAAATGGAAACATTAGCCGGGTGTGGTGGTGCATGCCTGTAACCCAGCTACTCGGGAGGCTGAGGCAGGAGAATCACTTGAGCCCAGGAGTTTGAAGTTGGTGAGCTAGACTGATGCTATGGCTAGACTCTGCCCAGACGACAGAGCAAGACTCCATCTCAAAAAAAAAAAAAAAATCTCTACAAAAAAATATAAAAATTAGGCAGATGTGGTGGCACACACCTGTAGTCCCAGCTACTCGGGAGGCTGAGGCAGGAGGATCACTTGAGCCCAAGAGTTTGAGGTTGCAGTGAGCTATGATGATGCCATTGCAGTCTTGCATGAGTGACAGAGCAAGACCCTGTCTCGAAAAATAATAATGCGTGCTTCTAGAGAAGAATGGGGACTCCCTGCTTTGGAGGGGTAGCCGGGCAGGCCTTTGTGAAAAGGTGACATTGAAGCAGAAATGTGCAAGCACACCAGACGGAGAGCATTTCAAGCAGAGGACAGTGGGCATGCAGGCCTGTTTCCCAGACTGACAGACACCAGTGTGACTGGGCTAGTGAGCCCAAGGAGAGTGGCCATGCTGTGGGGTGGAGAGGCCAGAGGGGGTCACAGGGCTGCAGATCATGGCAAAATGTATGAAAATTTTATTCCAAGTGCTGTAGAAGACACGGGTGGGATTCCTGGAACTCATCACTCGTGCCCCAGGGCCTTTGCACCAGCTTTCTGCTTTTTAAGGAATATTCACTTCTACCTGCCTTTCCCCAAATGCTCCAATCAATAATATGAATCACCTGGGACCCTGGGCTAGGAATACAGATTCCTGGGCTATGGACCTGCTGAACCAAACTCTTGGGGGAATGCCCAGGCATCTCCATCTTAATGGATGCCCAGGAAAATTATCTGATCTGGACGGTCTCAGAATAGCTGCTTTGTCTCAAGCAGCTTAGAGTGAGTGAGGTGGCAACAACCTGTGAGAATTGGCCTCGAATTGAACTGCCAGAGGCCAGTTTGCCTTCTAAGAAAATCACTGTGAGAAGTCAGTGAAATTAAAAGTGAGACTCATTTCAGACTTGGACAAACTTAAGTATAAGTGTCTCTCTGGGCCTGCAGCTGGGCAGGTGCCAGAGAGGCAGCCAGGGTGGAGGGGCTGGAAGCCAAGGCCCTGTGCATATGTGCATATGAGGGAGGCAGGTGGGCCCTGGGAAGGAGAATCTCAACCAGGCCATTTTGTTTCTCCACGTGGGGGTCTGTGGTGGGCCTGACCCCCGTGAGGCGTGGGGTCAGAGGACAAGCACTGGCAGTTGCAGAGGTGCAGAAGAAAGAGCCTTCCCACGCTTCAGCTGTTAGCAAAGAAGGGGCTTCCCCACAAAATGGGGGACCACTGCACTCTCTTCTCAGCCCTAGGGGTGTCTGAGGAAGGAGGAAGGAACCCGTGTCTGAGAACCTGGGAGTATCACGTCCCGTGCTGGGCGCAGAATCCAGCTCTCAGCAGGGCAGTGTGGGAGTCCCAGCTTCTGTGCAGGGAGCTCTCCGAGGTGCTAAAAGCATCTGCCGTGGCGTGTGCTGGCCCAGCAGGCTGGCTGAGGACTCCGGGTTAGTTTATCTGTTTTTCCTCTGTGCACCTCTTCAGCCGATCCTTGCTAGACCTGTGCTAGGTGTCGGGATCACAGTGAGAGGTTAATGTTAGACCCTCAGGGGGCTCCCAGGCTGGTGGCAGAGACCAGCCAGGCAGAGAGAGGTCTAATGGTCGGAGCCTGGAAGGATGGAGGCACCATAGACAAGGGACCTGGGGGATCCAGGCCAGCCCAGTGGGGCAGGCAAGGCCTCCTGACACCATGGACCCAAGTTAGAAGGATGAGGAGCTGTTAGCCAGGTGAAGGAGGGGGCTCCAAATGGGGAACAGCCAGGAGACATGCTGATGCTGGTGCTTTTGCGACCTGGGAGCGGGTCAGACTGCCTGACAGAATGGAATGTGGGCTGGTGGGTCAGGTTCTGCCCGAGTTATGCACTAAATATCTCCCAGGCTTTCTTTCCCCACACTGGGCCCTTCCCTTCTCTACCACCCCTTCATCCTCCCCACCACAGGTGTGCCAGGCCTGTCGCCTCTGGCCTAGACTGTGGCATGAGCCTCCAACTGGTCTTCCAGCCTCTCCCTTCTGCCCCGCCCACCCCATTCAACCCTCATCACCCACTGCTAGGGATCTTGATGAGATGCTAATCCAGCCCTGTCACTTCTTAAGGCCCTCCCTGACTCCTGGCCACTTGTAGGCAGAGCCTGTTGGTTCAGCAGTAAAGGCCTCTGCAGCACCTCTCCTGTGCCCGTCACTCCCACCTCAGGCCGGCCCCCTGCCCGGCCCCAGGCCGCATGCATCTGCACAGGTGCTTCTGCTCGCCTGTGCTTTCCTGTGTCCACTCTCCACTGTGCCTGTGCATGTGCTGGGGACTCCTCGGTCCCACATCATCGCCTCTGTCCACTTTCCTAAACCCCTGGGGTAACAAGGCAGGGTTAGCCCCTTCTTCCCACACCTCCCTTCTCTTGATCTCAATAGCTCACATCCCATTAATTTGTGTTAATATCTCCCCCATTAAATGTGAATCCCTTGAGGGCAAGGCAGGCCCATGTTGGGTTCATCTCTGTGACCCCCCTGCCCAGCAGAGACTCAGACACTGGGCATCAGTGTCATTTTTTGAAAGAACAAACACAGTGAATAAGAAGGTCTCTCTCTCTTTCTGAAGGAGAGATGCTCGGACCAGCCCTGGCAGAAAACACAGGACTCACCGAGCTTAACATAAGCTGGAATCACCTCCGAGGCCCGGGAGCTGTAGCATTTGCCAGGGGACTGCAGGTAGGAGGCCCCTGCCCAGTCGGCTCCTCAGGCATGTCTTTTCGGGCAGGTCTCCCAGGTGTCAGCCCCCTGTCTTTGCTGCTCTTCAGAAATGAATCTTGGATCTTTTGAGCAGAGGTTAAAGTGTGTTTCATTAGGTGACTTTAATTTCCCTGGTCTCATTTAATGACTGCAGTACAGTGTGCTCACTCTCCTGTCACACAGCTGAATGTCTCACACCTTCCCCAGACATCAAAGACACTCAGCTGGTAGGGGACATCCGTGCAGTCTGGCAACACATACTTACTGTGGGGCACATGCAGACGGTCCCCTGAGATGATACCCTTACACCCCTGGATGCCAGCACACCCTCTCAAACATCCCACCCGCTCCCTTGCGTGTTGTGGTTCACAGGCCTCGGGAATGGCAGGCTCAAGCCCTACCAGGGTGCCACAAGGTGCCTGCAGTGTCTCCAGTGCCTTGCTCTCTTATGGCAGATGGCAGGTCAGGTTCTTTCTTCCCCCCCAGCATAGTCCCCTGGGCGGGTTTCATCTGACAGTCCTTCACTGGAGCCTCCGCTGGGCCCCTGGGCTGCTCCGTGTCTCGAGGTCCCTGCCTTCGAGAGGCTGCTGAGTGGGTGTGGAGTCTGACCCCCATGTCTCTGGGGCCTGCTGCTGTTTGGCAGAGCCCCTCCCAGTCTCTGAGGGTCGTTCACAGCCACAGTCACCCTTTCTCATTGTGCTTCGGGCCATTCATCTCTCCTGGTCACCGTCATCTGAGCCACAGCTACCAGGGGCCTGTGCAGCACTTTCCTGATTCTTCCCTGGTACCTCTGCCCTCTGGACTGTGTTGTGCTCCCTGCACCTCGGGCCTGTGAGGCTGAGGCCCCCTGCGTTTCTCCACTGTCAGATGTGGTTCCCTGGCTTTGCTCCTTGGTGTTCTAGGCAAATATTTTCCTTAAAGTCCTGGATATCTCGTACAATGGCTTTGGAGATCCTGGAGCCTCCGCAGTGGGCGAGGCTCTCAAGGCCAACAACGTGCTGGAGGAACTCAACATGAGGTGAGGAGTGCAGGTGTGTCACGCTAGGGACCAGGGGCTCCGGGACCTTGTTACTGTTCACTTTAATTCCTGAACCTACCACAGTCTACCTGTGACGGGGCTTGAGCCACAATCCCAGAGCACCCAGCTCCATCTTTCTCGTCCAAGTTCATTATTTATATGTTGGGACTTGTAATTCCTGCAGTGCAGGCAGGTGGCTGGGAATCACAAACGTGTGTGTAAAGCACAAGGCCCGTGATGGGGCCGGGGCTCCGTGAGAGCTTCTTCCCTCTCAGAAAGGGAGCCTAGTCGGGGTGGGGCGAGGCAGGGCCCTGACAGGTGGGCCAGTGTGTATGCCTTGCTCAGCACCTGGCTGCTCCTACAGGCACCTGGTGGCTGCAACAGCAGCTGTGGTGGGGACGTGGGGGGGCAGTAGGCTCTGTGTATCTGCTTGGAAGGTAGCACAATGCACATATTTTTTTTGCTGCAGCAACAACCGAATCTCTGCGGTGGGAGCTCTGAGCCTGGGCCTGGGCCTGGGCCTCCGGGTCAACCAGACACTGAGGGTTCTTGTTGTGAGTGCTGGCCCGATGGGCCCAGACCTACCCAGCGCCTGTCCATGCAGATCCCTCCCCCGCCACATCGCCCCAGCCCCCGCCTAGGTGCAGCTGGTGGGTGTACACTGCACACAGCCTCTAGGGCCCAGGCGGGGTCTCTGGGAGGGACCTCCTAGCTTCCCCTTATGACCACTTCCTCCCGGTGCCATTCCCTCCACCCCTGGCCTGGCCCTCCTCCTCCCCTTACCTGTCCCCGCTGTGGCTCCCCAACACTCCTTGCTGCCTTTCTCTGCTGGGCCCCCCGGGGTGTGTCACCTTCATCTTCTCCCCTGCCCTTCCTCTGGCCTTGCTGGATCCCAGGGTCGGCCCAGGGGTAGTGTTGGCCTCTGCTCAGACCTGCTGCCTTGCGTGCCCATCAGGGGTTCCCTTTCTCCAGGCTTGCAGATGGGGAGGAGCACTGAGCAAGGCTGACAGCAGAAATCAGAGAAGGGAGGGAGCCAGGCCAGGGTGGAGCAGGTCCCAGGGACCACTGTGCCCACAGCATGTGCTGGGGGACAGTGTTACCATCTCTGGAGGAGGCCTCTGGCTCTGCCTGGCCCTCATCTCCCCCCGCAGCCTTCCCCAGGCTCCTCCCGTAGCTCTCACACACACCAGCCCCTGCCCCTGCTGGAAGCTTCTCCCTTTAAGGGCTGCCTCTTAGGGGAGGGCTCCTTCTCCCCAAGTCAGAGGGTGGGGCCCAGAGCTCGCGCCGCCCCTCCCTTTCCATACCTCCCCTCTCACCCAGCCTAGTGTGCTTGGGCTACTGGGTCCCCTCTTCTCCCCCTTGGGAAGTGAGACTTGCTAGTCTCCTGGCTCTGGTCCTTCCTACCTACTACCCAGTGATCTTTGTAAACCAGAAACGTGTCTGCACGCTCCCTGCTTAAAGCCGGTGGGGTTTGATCCCGTCTGGATAAATCCAAGCTTCTTAGTGTGTCATTCACAGCATGTCATGGGGATCTGGGCTCTGCCAACCCCCCTCTTCCAAGTTCGTTGTTCTCACGCCACGCTGCTCGGAATTCACACACACAGACACACACACAGACACACACACACACACACACACACACACACACGGTACTATTTTTCACCTCTTTCTGCTTCCGCCGCTTTTCTTGCTGAACTGCTCAGCCCCACCCCTAAGTCCTCAAACTTGGTTCAGAATAAATCTAACTGTGATTTCTTTAAGTTCTAGTGTCTGTTTTTTGCTTTTTTGTTTTGTGGGAGGTTTTTTTGTTTCTTTTTTTAGAGACAGGGTCTTGCTCTCTCTCCCAGGATAGAGTACTATGGCACCATCAAGCTCACTGCAGCCTCGAACTCCTGGGCTCAAGCGATCCTCCTGCCTCAGCCTCCCGAGTAGCTGGGACTACAGGCGCCACCACCATGCCCGGCCTGTCTTTGTTGTACATCTAATAAACAGATTTATAGCCAGTACCTATCCATGAAATATTTTAACAAATTCCAGTTCACAGGCAGGTCAGCTTCAGTTTATAGGCCAAAGTTTTATTATTACCCACGTGCTTGACTGTAGCCATCGTGGGCCACTGTTAAAATTCTCTTTTGGGTTTTCCTTTTCCTGACACTTCCCAGGTAGGGTTGGTGCACACTCTCTCATTGCACTTACCACACTGCGTTTTTATGATGGCTCCTGTCCCTCCCCTGCCCCAGCAGGTGAGCTCTTTAAGGGCAGCAGTGTGTCTGGTGCATCCTTTCCCCTGTCTCTCCCAGCAGCCTCACCAGGGCATGCCGTCCAGCAGAGACACCTTCTGAGCTGAGACAGTGGGGCCGTCCTAACCAGTCCTCAGAGATGAGGAGGCTCTCCTTCCCCTTCACACTGTCCTCTGGCTTCCCTGGGCTCAGCTTCTCTCGGTTTTGCGTTGTGTTTCTCAGGTGTCCAGGAATCCCATGCGAAGTGAGGGCTGCTTTGGTCTTCTCAAGTCTGTGCAGGACAATCCAGCACCTGCTCTGGAACTGCTGGATTTCTCCGTAAGAGCTTTTCATAAACCTCATCTGTGATTCTCCCAGCAGCCCTGTGAGGTATCGTTATATCCATTTTAGAGGAAGAAAGTAGGGGTCAGAGACACAAAGTGCCCTGCCCAAATACACCGTGAGGCAGAGGCAGAGTACCAACCGAGCCTGAACGCAGGTCTAGAGGCCACTCCGGCTCTGCTCCCTCTGGACTGGCGGTCCTGCCGTGGTCTCACCTTGGGCCCCTGCCTGGGTTCTTCACTGGCTGAGAGAGAACAGGTGGGGCTCAGGGGCACTATGCTCACTGTTCACTGATGTTTAGATTTGCAGGTTCGCTGTTCGCAAGGCTGCCCTTCTCTCCTCCCACCCCTGCTGCTGCCTGTAGGGGGGACTGTGGCACTGTGAGATTCAATTAAGTGGCCGTGAGGGACATCAGGGCCCCTGTTCATTCAAGTTTGCTTTTGTAATATAGGAAAATAAATCACTCTTTTCTAAGGCAACTAATCATTAAAGAGAAAATCCCAAAATAAGAATCATTAAAAGAAACATCCAATTACACATCAGTGCTTATTCTAACCCTGATTTATTTCAACCCAAACTTGGGTCAAAGGCTTTCCAGAAATGTGTATTTACAGTTCCAGTCCTTAAGGTTTGGGACAACTGATGTCAAACATTGTTACTGTTTTTTGTTTGTTTTTTGGAGACAGACTCTTACTCTGTCACCCTAGCTAGAGTGTGGTGGCATCATCGTAGCTAACTGCAACCTTGAACTCCAGGGCTCAAGCAATCCTCCTGCCTCAGCCTCCTGAGTAGCTAGGGCTATGGGCTTGCCCCACCACTCTTGGCTAATTTTTTAATTTTTTGGTAGAGATGGGGTCTTGCTATGTTGTCCATGCTGATCTAGAACTCCTGGCCTCAAGCCATCCTCCTGCCTTGGCCTCCCCAAGTGCTGGGATTACAGGCATGAACCACTGCACCTGGCCCCTTTCTCTATTTTAATAGTTTGGAGAGTCTGTGACTGTCATCCACAGAAGAGAAGCCACCAGAAGGAGCTTCTTTGAGACCTTGTGTGTGTAAGTAAAAATAGTCAAGTTCTCAGAACGTAGTAACATACTGCCTTGTAATGGATTTCTCCCCAGTATATCCAGGTGAACACAGAGTTTGATGACCTTGCTAGCTCAGTGAAGGTAATTCTTCCTGGGCTTTGCATAAAGACTGGTGCTTGCAGAGCGGAGTATAAAAAAGAGTTGCTGCCGGTCTTCAGACAGTCCCTACCAGTGCCTGCTCCTAAATGACTTTGGAGTGTGGCTTCCTCCCCTCCAGCCAGCCACTACAACTTCTACATTGAGTGCTCTTCAACTCACGATGCCCTGTGACCAGGATGTCTGCGCTGAGTCCCTCCATCAGCCAGGTGCTGAGTCCTATGGAGCTGGCCTTCATGATGACTCAGACACCTGTGCTTCCTCTCTGCCCCTCTGCCCCTCTGTCCCTGTGCCTCTGGACTAATCTGGGCCTTTATTTGCTCTTACTCATTCATGTAACACAAACCCTTACTATGTGCAGCACATTGAGCTGGGCATGGGGTCAAAGATGCCCAGACAAGTCCCTGCCCTCCACATGTTCATGTTCTGGTGACCTCAGGAGACTATTAGAATTTCAAGAGGTGCACAACTGGCATTCCCAAACTCTATTCATGAGAATGCAGACTGGTACAATCTATTTGAAAGGCATTTTATCATTACTCACCGAGAGTCATAAAACTGCCTGTGTCCTTTGATCCAATCATTCCACTAATCTGCTCTGCAAAAATAATCAGAGATGCATAAGAAGACTGATATTCATTGAAATGCTGTTTATAATAATGAAAATTGGAAATATCCCAAATAACAGGGGATCAGTTAAGTAAGATTTGGAACTCTGCAAACATTAAAAGCCACATGCTCAAAGAACATTTAACCATTCGTGAAAACACACATGATTAATGTTAAGTGAGGAAATCAGGATCCAGAAATCACATGGATTTTTTGGCACTTCCTCAAAAGATTAATCATAGAATTACCATATGACCCAGCAGTTCCACTCAACAGAAATGAAAAATATATGTCCACATAAAAACTTGTACATGCATGTTCCTGGCAGCATTATTCATAATATCCAAAAAGTAGAAATGGCCACCAATGGATAAACACAATGTGGTATAATCCATATAATGGACTATTATTCAACAATAAAAAGGAATGAAATTTGAGGTTATAAAAATGTTCCAGTCGGTCCCAGTACATTCACTTAATAGCTGCTGGCAATATGGAAGGTTCTTTTTCTGTTTGTGTAAACTCTAATTTCTATCAAGGTGTCATGGATTTTTAAAATTGGTCTTTCATTACAAGTGTCTCAGTGTTGGTTAATTAATTTTTGCCATGACCATTATTGATCAAGCAAGTAAATTCGACAACCATTTGGGAAAAACGAAAAAAAAAGTTCTAAAATCAATTGTGGTGGTGGTTGTACAATTCTGTGAATATACTAAAATAAATTGAATGGTATAATTTAAATGGGTGAATTGTATCATATGTGAATAATAGCTCAATGAAACTGTTTTAAAAGAAGAAAAAATACTGATATATGCTACCTGGATGAAATTTGAAAACAGTATGCTAAATCAAAGAAGCCAGTCCCAAGACCACCTATTGTGTGATTCCATGTATATGAAATGTCCAGAATAGGCAAATCTGCAGAGACCAGAAGTAGCTTGTAGGTTGCCCAGGGCTGGGAAGATAGGGAGATTAGGAGCCGACAACTAATGGATATGGGTTTCTTTGGAGACTAACAAAAATGTTTATTCCTGGTGGTCTAGTGGTTAGGGGAAAATAGTGTTCTAAAATTGATTGTGGTGTTCTGCAACTTTATGAATGTGCTAAAAACCATTGACTTTTACATTTTAAGTGGATGAATTATGTGGTATGTGACTTATATCTCAAGAAAGCTGTTAAAAAATCATACTGTTTGATTCCAATTATATAAAAATAGTATGAATGCATACATATAGGAAAAAAAGACCAAAAAAGTCCTATTGAAATATTAATAATATTTATCTCTAGGTTGTGGGTTTATGGATGATTTTTATTTTCTTTATATTTTCCTGCATTTTCTACACTTTCTACTGGGAATATGTCACTTTTATTATATAATCAGAAAAATAAATATTACAATCATATACCATATAATGATGTTTTGGTCAATCATGGACTGAATATACAATAGTGGTCCCATAAAATTATAATAGCATATTTTTACTGTACCTTTTCTATGTTTAGATACACAAACACAATTGTATTACAATTGCCTACAGTATTAAGTACAGTAACATGCCGTACAGGTCTGTAGCCTAGGAGAGACTGGCTAAGCCATATAGCCTAGGTGTGTAGTAGGCTATACCATCTAGGTTTGTGTAAATACACTCTATGATGTTCATATGACAAAATCTCCTAATGACACATTTCTCAGAACATATTCCAGTTCTTAAGGAGATACATGACTGTATTTAAAAACATAATGTGATACAGACTACAGTTCAGTTATATACATGATGTGGTTGGAGCCCTGAGGAAGGAGGGTGCTATGGACTGAATTGTGTCCCCCCAAATTATATGTTGATGCTCTAATTCCCAATGTGGCTATATTTGAGGATAGGGCCTATAGGAGATAATTAAGGTTAAACGAGGTCACAAGGATAAGGCCCTAATCCAATAGGATTAGTGTCCTTATAAGAAAGCAGAGAGGGCTGGGTACGGTGGCTCACGCCTGTAATCCTAGCTCTCTGGGAGGCCGAGGCGGGCGGATTGTTTGAGCTCAGGAGTTCGAAACCAGCCTGAGCAAGAGTGAGACCCCGTCTCTACTAAAAATTAGAAAGAAATTAATTGGACAACTAAAAATATATAGAAAAAATTAGCCAGGCATGGTGGCGCCTGCCTGTAGTCCCAGCTACTCAGGAGGCTGAGGCAGGAGGATCGCTTGAGCCCAGGAGTTTGAGGTTGCTGTGAGCTAGGATGACGCCATGGCACTCTAGCCCAGACAACACAATGAGACTCTGTCTCAAAAAAAAGAAAAGAAAGAAAGCAGAGAGCATTTGTGTGAGGACATGGTAGGAAGGTGGCTGTGTGCCAGCCAGAGAGTCCTCAGGGACTTTTAGCCTCCAGAACTGTGAGAAAATACATTTCTGTTGTTTAAGCCACTCTTTCTGTGGTATTTTGTTATGGTAGCCCCTGGAGCTAAGACAGGATTCACTTTCCTGGGAAGAAGAGTCAGGGAGGGCAGTGGCCTCCTTCTGGTCTCCCTGGCTTTCCGTAGACCTCCCTGCCTGGCCCTCCTCCTTGTGCCAAAGCGTTCCTTCTTAGAGCACACCTGATAGCATTGTTTAGAGCCCTCCCACCCCCAAGCCTACAGAAAAATCCTAGGTCTGGTGCATTGTCCCATCACACTGGATGAGCTCCGTCTCTCTTCTTTACTAAGGAGAGAAAGTTAAGAGTCTTCTCCATCACCCTCTAGGAAGACACCAGAATGGGGTGCTGCATTCTGGTGATGAGCTGAGTGTATGCCTGGATTATTTTCCCTTGCTTTTCCCAGATATGAATACACACTGGATCCCAAAGAAAGTTAAAATTATCTTTAGGTATGGAGGAATCAGGTGATTGTTCCAAAGTCCTCCAAAATGGGCATTGGGTCCCAACTCTGCTCTTCTGGGGAAAGGGGTGTGTCCTCCTCCTCCCTGGTGGCGGGAAATCCACTCCTCACTAAAGAGAGAAAAGAAAAATAGCTCACAGCAGTCTGAGAGAGCTGTGTGAGATATGCAAAATATATCAGGCCCAGAGAGAAAAGAATGTGGTACTAGGTCTCAAGCCCATTCCCAACCCATGCCCAAGAGCAATTGTTTAAAGGCATTTTGTTCCTGACTAGCCACTGCACTCATTGTCTTCTTGTTTCTGGAATTTGGGATACAAAGAACAATGTACAGCCAATCAATAGCTTATGTTATTTTGGTGTAAATTCTTGGTAAACAATTTAGGAACTGCCTCTTTTCCTTTAAAAACCTACTTGTTAGGTTTTTCCTTTTCCTTTAAAAACCCTATCTTTACAAAATATAAGAAAATTAGCAGGACATGGTGGCACACCCTGTAGTCCCAGCTACTTGGGAGGAGGCTGAGGCAAGAGGATTGCTTGAGCTCAGGAGTTTGACGATACAGTGAGCTATGATGTGCAACTGCACTTCAGCCTGGGTGACAGAGCAAGACCTTTTCTCTAAAAAACACAGTGATAATAAAATGTTTTTAAACACACACACAACCATACTTGTAGCCAGGCAGGGTGGCTGTTGCACGTAGTCTGAGCTACTCGTGAGGCTGAGGTTGGAAGGACTGCTAGAGGCCTGGGCGACAGAGCAAGACCCTGTCTCTAAAACAAATAAAAGCAAAAATAAAAAATAAATGTACTTGTAACTGCTGCTAATCCGTGTGTATATTCAGGGCAACTTTATGCTCCTGGGTTGCAGTCCTCAAACTTGGCCCAAATAAACTCTCTACTTGTATTAATTTTGCTCAGCTTCTTCCTTTTAGGTTGACAGAAGTGATCAAATCCTGCCCTCATCCTGGGTGCTGGGTGGGAATGGCTTTTCTGCACCAGGAAAGGAGTAGATGATTGAGAGGATGCCGTGACTTTGCATAGATGCCGGGAAGGCCTCTTGTTTGCAAAAACCTGACTAAGCAGCGCAGAGGCGAGCAGGCCTGGAGCTCCCAGGGAAGGGACTGTGGCATAAAGCCGTCGTCAAGCCATTTGCATGCCAAGGGCTTACGTGCACGGTAATGTCCTGCATCCCACCAAGGCCCTGTTGTAGCTGCTCCAACCTCACGGTGCCAGGGCGCAGAGGAAACGGCCCAGCCCCACAGCCTCCATCAGCGACCCTGCTGCCTTCCCGCCAAATCTGCATCCAATCCGAAAGCGTCACCACTCTCTCTTGAACGACCAATCAGAAGTGGGATCCTGAGCCTCAGCCCGCCCCCAGGAGCTCTGGACCAATGGCCGTGCGGGTATCGGCGGGCCAATCCGTGGCAGTGTGCGCGCAGAGCGGCGGCAGTTGGGCGCGCGGCGGCAGCGGTGGCGGCGGCGGTTGAGGTCTGGTAGCGGCTTAGGGCGGCAGCGGCGGAGCTCACCATGGTAAGGCCTCAGGGCTGGGGCTAGGGCGCTGCACACTCGGCACGCATAGGCCAGGCTCTGGGCACTACTGCTCCAAAGACGCCTGGGT